CCCCCTATACACGCAAGTGCAGAAGGGAATCCGGAGTTCCGAGCTCCGTCGACGAACGAAGATCAGGGATGCCGTTGATTACGCCAAGAGATCGAAGATCAGGTGGGCCGGACACGTTATGCGATTTAATGATGACCGTTGGACCAGGGCTGTTACTGACTGGATCCCTCGGGACACCAAACGAATTCCAGGACGGCCGCCAACGAGATAGTCAGACTTCTTCACGAAAGCTCTGAACGAAAGGAATGTTGATTCTCGTGTCCCTGGAGCGATTCATTGGACCACTCTGGCTCGTGAAAGGGACGAATTGAGACGTTACAGGAGCCCGCTCGAGGAAATCGACGATCAAGGGGACGACAGGTGATACAGGTGATGTTGTGCGCAAACGCTGATTAACGCCCTTTTACAATATTTCCATGGAAGCTTCCGAAACACTACAGAAAAGCCCGGAGTCTTCTGAATTTTCTGGCCAAACCGTATTAGAACCATTCAGCGTATGCAGTCAGCTCCCCGAATAAAGTAGGGACCTGAACCGTTTTTATTATCTGCCGTTCGCAGTGATGCATCCGTGACAATCACTTACTTGTGCTTTCTTAGCGCACAGTATGAGCTGTTGTTCCTGCTTCAAATGTGCTTGACTCTTCGCCAACTCCTCCAGCAACTTTTCGATTTTCTTTTGTTGGGCCCGCAACATCTCCTCATGCATGGATAGAGCAGCTGGAGTCAAGCTGAAAGTTGTCGAGTCTTCAAATATCCAAGTACAGCGAAAAAAATCGATTGCCTACATCAATGACGGATCATCAAACGTGGTTGAATTCTTGCTGGTAGCGTCTCCTGACTCTGCAACCGACTCAGACTGGCAACTATTTGGCATACGCGGTGAATCACCAGCTAGATCAGCTGTGGGACTGTCTTCAAGGCTAAAAACACCACGACTTTACAATCACTGGATGTGAACGTAGAAACTCACCACGGGTCTAAGGCTTCCTCGATGAACTCGCTTTGTACAAGCGAACTCTGGCTCCGATTCTGAAGCGCGGATTATGAAGGACACAGGGCTGGGAACAGAGCTAATGCTACCAGTGACTTGCCTCTTGCGCGATACTCTGAGACGACGCCTGAGGGATGGTCATGGTTGGTTGGAATGCAACTAGTAATGCGGCTTCGTTTTCTTCTATTCTAGTAATTTGTGCTGATTGTTGGTCTATGAAGCACATGATCAGTGGATCTTTTTCCTCATACTTGGCACCTAGAATTTGCATGGAATTACTCACTCAAACCGTTTATACTAAGTTATGCCCTGCTTGGTGAAACAAGTACGACATGAGGTGACCCTAAATACTAGTATTCGAGCGTTACTATTGCTCGTCAATACACTGCATCACCTGCAGTTTTCATACTCAGCGGCTTGCCTTTTGTTGGTGTTCCTTCAATAGTAGGTGCAAGGGTGAACTGAAAACACTTCTAAAAAGCACTTGCCATGCAAAAAGGGTTTCAAAATAGTGAATGCCCGGAATTTTGAGTTCCAGCCATAAATGCTTCAATTGCAGAAACCAGATAAATAGGTCATACCTGTCCACCGGATCCCATTTGAGCGAATCGGAAAGTGTTATCGTTTTGCTTCTGGATCACTTGTGCAGTTTGAATGGCACGAGGTTGCTTCAAAGCCGGCACGTTTGCGATCCCTAATTGCGCTTGTGTTGGATTTGATCCCTGTTGTATAGGAATGGTGTAGGCAACTCTTTCATGGGAAGTTGCACCATGTCGAACAGAGGCAGTAGGCTGAGCATTGCCCTGTTGTGGCCCAAAACGCGGATAACTGAAGCAATTCACATTGTTCGCGGTACCGGAAATAAAAGACAAAAACCACATTGAATAAATGATGTGAGCCCCCTACTGTCACTTGGTAGCTATTTCGTTTCTTACATGTACGTCCGGGAACACTATTAGCTTTGAGAAAAGAAAATAGTCGAAGTCACATTGAAGCTGAGTAAAAGAGAATTGGAGCAGGGTCGTGATAACACTTATGTGAATGACAGATGATCCCGAACTCAGCTTTTTGCTTCATCTCTTTACGAACTGTTTCAACGTTGCAATGTTCACAACGCGAATGTCATCAACTGACTCATGACTTACAGTTTTGCTCCTCGCGAGGAGCGTCCTAAATCAATGTGATCCCTATTACATATGCCTTCCCCTTACTTACCCCACCCCCCTCCCGACCCCCGTTCCTGTACCCAGCGTTGCCTACTCCGGTTCGTAGTCCGCCAAAAGCACGATTCGAGCACATTCTTGCATTCAAAACTCGGTCAATACTTTCAAAGTATTCTGTCAAACTTACTACGACAATAGAACTGGATGCCCAGATCCAGGTTTATACTGCACAGATGCGATACCCACTGGCGCACCCTTGGCGTCGGTCAGCTAAAATCGAGGTCGTTTCTGTTTCTACTTATCTTGTAGGCTGAGCTAAATGTGTACTGCGTTTGCTGACGCCCTCAGCACTTGGCTGGACAGTAATCAAAGTAGAAAGTGAAAACAGACAAACTCAAGCACACCAAACTTCAAATCGAAAAATTGTTGGAAATACACTGTTTTGGGCAAGTCGCAAATATCACATTGTAAAAAACCGAGTTGAAGTACCCATCTAAAAAAAACTCATAATGCTAGGCGTGTATTCGGGTGCTCATTTCGAATACGCTCTGAATTTGTCATATTATTCACTGAAAGAGATCATGAAAATGGTTTTATTTGGGTGCTCAAAATTAACAAACACGAAAGATATGCATATAACTGCGTTCACAGAGGTCGTATAGAATAGTGGTAAGCGTGACTCTCCATGTGCAGGAGACCACGAATCGGATATTGCTAGGGTCGCGATTTCCGCAAATTGCAGGTCTTCTTTCTTGATGGGGGAAAACCCTTGTATGTTGATCCTAGGGATGCTTAAGGTGTCCCTTTTCCTGCCTAGACTATAAAATATCGCCACAATTCCCTCCTAACCATACACGCCACTTCCGTCGTTGGATCTCCGAAGAGAGTGCATTCATGCAAACGATTTTAAGCCTCGAGATGCTCGAAGTTGTACAGTCAGTCTTCGCTACTCCACCTATTTCACACTTATGCCATGCATTTTTGCCGATGGCAACCTGGGTCGGAAGTTTTCATGGTGATCCTGGTTGGTTGCAGGAATATTCTGCATACCCTAGGTTTCTCAATCTAGCTTTTATATGAACTCACTGTTGAGGTCCTTAGGAGGCTTTTCCATGCACGGAATATAGAGGTTTAAGTGAGCGAGTAAGTTGTTGATGTTAGAGTGGGTGCGATCTAGAGTAGCGGTCTCAGACTCACCAACATCAGTGTGGCTGGTGTGACACTTCTGTACTTCCTTTGAAGATAATGAAGCTATCAAGTCTGCACTATCCCCATCTTCATCTTGGAGTGTGTACCTCATAGCAGTTTCAGGCAATTCCTTTCTGAACCTTGCCCTTATAATACCTCCCAAACCTCCGTCAAGTCAAATGCTTTCTGGTATTCAATGAATGTCATAATGAGTGGAAGACGATACACACGGGCTGCATCGATTAGTGGATAAGCTTGCATAAGTATAACTCCACAAAAACATCCGAACAGCAGGTACCATAGGGCTAATACAGCCATTAGACGTTCGTTTTGTGGTTCAATTGTTCATTTAGATGTATCAACACATGCAAGGTAGCTCATGATCACAGCTTCTGCGTGCAAGCTTGCGACTCAACTCTCCGCTTAGTGACCATGTTCGACTATCATTCAATCTTGGCATAGTATGGATGTAACTTTGGAGGTCTCTCTGAAGCCACGACCAAGATGATACAATGCTTGATTCGGCCGTTTCGGCCAATCGCCTTCGTCGCCGTTAGATGTGAATTGCATGGTCTTCTTTTTACATCTAAGGCTCTGACGAAGGCGACTAGCCGAAACGTTATCCAAATTAAACATTGTATCATCTTGGTCGTGGCTTCAGAGAGACCTCCAAAGTTATCTCCGCTTAGTATTAATTGCCAACTTCCAATTTTGCGCTCATTAGTTTAGGAATTCCCTCCNCCCCCCCCCCCCCCCCCACCCTTACTCATGACATGCTTTCACAAGCACACGTCCGGGTGATTTTAAGACACCTTCACAATTCTGTTTTCTGTCCGATCCAGTGAATGACAGTAAAGTAATGACCTATAGCAAAATTTTTTATTTATTGCTCCCACTGTAAAAAACACCATTGCTTCGAAAGCATCAGCTCATAAAGTGATGAAAGCTACCCTGCTGTGCGTGAAATGTGTATGAGAAGAGCAAATAAATTGTCGTCATTGCATTGAATAATCTGAGTGAGAACAGAGTCACCTGAAGCATCACAAAAGTCACTGGAGGCGGTAGAAGCAGCATACAAGATTACGAAAAGCCCGTGAAATAAAAAATGACGGTTTTCACTTTAATCTACAGCCTCATGCAAATTAAAGGTCACGTTTAGCAGAAAGCGCACTTATGTGCATGTCTTTCGTATTCGTTTGTTGGGCATCCGAATAAAACCACCAGAGAGTTAGTGAAAAAATTCAGAGCTTAGATTCGAAATAAAATTCTTCTCTATTGATCACCTCAAAAGACCAATTCGACTTGAGGTTCCATCGAAAGGTATTTTTTAAAAAAAGCTAGACCTTGTGTGTCGCGTGTTTTTTTTTTTCGCTTGCGCCTGCTTTACTACTCGTCGAACTTCATTATCGAGAATGTGCCAATGCCAGCGTGCTTTGGGGTCTTGCCCCTCTAAATCGGCCTTGTGTCTACTGTCTACTCCATCGATTCTTTGGCTGTAAAACGACGTGTACCGTGCTTTTTCATAATGGCTGGGAAGGTTCTTGGAAATCTGGGAGATCAGCTCTCAGTATGTCCCTTTTAAAAACTTTTTTCCGGCTGGATGCAGCTTCCACCAACGGATTCTGCGTTCCGTTCCTGTCGCGACTTTTCACGCCTCGAGCAAACATGCTCCAAGGCCACAGGTGCGAAGAGACTGCGTCGCGCACCATGTTCAAATTACGCGCCGCAATTCAAACCGTGTGCTCAGTGTGAAAGCCTATAGAAGGCTAAGGTGCAAGCATTTTGGCGCCAACCACGTGGCAGTTCTTTAACGTCCGTCGTCTCGGCTGGCAGCCGCCGTTCCATCGTCGCACCACCACACGTGTCAAACACGCGAGGAGCACCTATGCCTTACGCATATCGTCTACCATGATATACTCGATACACGCTAGGATCCTCAACAGGTATCACCTCTAGTAGCAATTTTGTAAGAAGTTGCACACGATGCAATCATAGACCTTTAGTTATTTGCCATAGGGAAACCTTAGTTTCCACTTTGTTTTTAATGTCTAATAGTTATTTGAGTATTTCACCCTTGCACATATTTTCCAAACTTGTCTGTTCACATTTATGATATTTTAGTAATAGGTTGATGAACGATTTTTGCGAATTTTTTGCGAGTTCTTTTCTCTCGAAACAATTGGAATATTAGGTTCGGGACTTGATAAAAATAATCTTCTAACTTCTCTCAACTTGGCTAGCAAACAGGACTTTCGACGAAATGGATGACTTGATGGCCGACGTCAAAGCGTGGATCGCCTCCAAGAATTGAAACTTCTTCGTCTGTGGAATTCGACTGCCTAGCAAATGGGAGCAATGTTGACGTAGATGGTGGATATGTTCCGGAGCATA